GGCATCATGTCGAAACACTCTCTGGAACAATTGTCCAGGTCCAGGTATACGGAGGTTCTACGAACAAAAAAAAACTCAGAGGAAACGCCCAGGGCGACGAGCCCAGTCCAGATTCTTGACTCTCTTAAGCGGAATCTGGAGTTCATGACATTTATTGTCTTATGGGTGCATATCTAGCCTGAGCTAGCATGTAAGTGGGTTACAAATGCCCCAAATGGCTCAGGGTGGTTCGAGAACTCCGCCGCTAAGTGGGCGGAACCCGCTTAGGCTGGATCGTTCACCCCCCTAAGCCGCTCGGAGCATTTGTAACCCATATGTTAGGCCAGATATAACCTACCTTGGCATCCACTGATTAGTCTTAGGTCGGGCATGTCCTCCTCCAGGTGGACTTTGGAAGACAATTAAACATAGTCCAACAATAATCAGAGATAGTGTGTTTAAACAACTATTCTTGCATATTCCTCCTGTAGAGGAACATGCCCGACTTAAGATGAACGTAGTCCCCTTTCCCCTTAGCAACCCCCGCGCCGATCCCAATTGGGGGCGCGGGGCCTGGATGGGGGGGCTGCGACGACGGCGCGGGGCCGGGGACCACGAGCGAACGACGCATCACAGCAACCGAGCTGAAAGGGGCGAAGGCGCGGGGGGACCGACGAGCATGTGAGCGTTCTCGGATCCGGCGTTTCGACATGGGGCGGGAGGGGGAGGAGGAGGAGGAGGAGGAGGAGGGAAGGAGGAGGAGGAGGAGGAGGAGGCGGAGGAGGAGGAGGAGGAGGAGGAGGAGGAGGAGGAGGAGGAGGAGGAGGAGGAGGAGGAGGGGGGGGGGGGAGGAGGAGGAGGCGGAGGAGGAGAGGGAGGAGGAGGAGGCGGAGGAGGCGGAGGAGGAGGAGGAGGAGGAGGAGGAGGAAGATCGGAGGAGGAGGAGGAGGACTGCTGACTGCTTGACTGCAGCTCTGTGTGTGTGTGTGTTTCGACATTGGGGGGAAGGGGGGGGAAGTCTGGCTCCGGACCTCTGCTTAACGCGACCGTCTGCAGCAGTGCGCCCTGTGGGGGAGACTCCACCTGTTCGAAACGGGCGCCGAAAAAGCTGGCAAGATCTACTTCTAGGGGGGGTGGGGCAGGCGGGGGGGGTGCGAGGGCCCGCGTGGATCGGCAAAACAATGAACAAGAAAACGATCAAGAAAACGATCGCCATGACGAGGGGGGAGCGAACGAACGGCGAGCGACGACTAGCGGAATTAGGGGCTTCGGGCTCCAGAACATAGCCGTGCAGTGTGAGAAGCCTGGCGATGCAAGAACGGGAAGCGCTGTGCTTGAAGAGCGCGCGCGCGAGGAGCACGAGGAGAAGGACGCCGAAGGAAGGGGGCTTCTAGTGACCTTCGTGGTCTACCCTGGCAACTGCTGGGGCGCCTGGGGCTGGCTTGCGGGCTCTTCGGGGCCTCTAGCGTTGCAGAAAGAACGACTGGGGACAGCCAAGAACAGCCAGACCGAGCACACCCCCAGCAGCCGGGTACAGCATGAGCAACTGTCCAGATCCCCGGTGGCCGACTGCCACACGAGCGGCTGAGAGATCGGCTGGGAGCAGCCCCGAACCGAGCAGATCCCCAGGCACCTGGTGCAGCAAGGACGACAAAGAACAACTGAGCTCAGCAACTCCCTAACCGAGCCGTGTGCAGCGGTGGCAGCTGGGAACAATCTGCAGTAGCCGAGCGGAGCAGATCGCCAGCAGCCAGGGGTGCAGCGTGGGCAGCTGTAGGCAACTGCGAAAAGAAGAAGGAAGCACAAAGAAAGCACAAACAAACTCTTGGGGGCCAGGTGCAGCAAGAGCATCCAGGCACCGCCGAACCAATCACATCAGTGGAAGCCAAGTGCGGCGCGAACAACCCATAGCAGATGAGCGAAGCAACTCCTTGGGAGCTGGGGCCACTTTTCCAGGGGACTCGAAGCATGGTGCTAAGAACGACACCCAGCTGGTGACAACGACCAAGGTGTGCTCCTCGAACCTGGAAAGGTTCTGCGCATATTTAAAACCCATACACATACCACTCGACATTCGCTGGCCCAAGGAGCCAGAGGCGTGCTAAGGTTCACACAGTATATCTATGTATATGTTCATGTACCTGTATGTGTGTGTTTATACTAGAACCATCGCGCGCGCTTCGCGCGCGCTCATGTTCTAGCTAGGCTTGATCGGCTAATTCTTTTGGTCGCTTCTTTCGTCCAGGGGCTCCCTTGGAGGCCCTGCACAAGCTTCGGAATCGTATAGAAGGGGAAGTGCGGAAACGCATGAATTATGAATTTCCTTTACGTATTTTGGGGCCCTCAAGAGCTTCCTGGGTTCTTTTTTGGGAGGTGAGGGGGGTCTGAATTGTGGTCTGTGTGGTCTGTTGTGCAAGAGTATACCGGGGGCCAAACTTGGCAAAACAGGATTTTTATTTTTCCAGTTCCTAGGCGTTGTTCGGGGCTGTTTTTTGTCTGTGCCTCGCGGGAATTTGTTAGCAGGGCCCCTCAGGGGTGTGGGATCTTCCGGACCCTCTGGGGGTTCTAGAGGCCTCCTGGAGGCCTAGAGGGCCGTCGGGTGTCTCGGGCTTCGCGGGAGCGTGTTGGGCCGTTCTTTACGTTCTGGGGGCTCCTTGGGGTCGTCCTGGGCTGTCCTTGGGCGTCTTGGGGGGCCCCCCTGGAAGCTGGGAGGCGCGTGCCAGCCAGATGTCAGGGGATGTGTGGGATCTCCGAATAGGAGTCCCACTTTGAATAAACAAGTTGTTTGTGTTTTGAGGGTTGGAAGCGGGAAAACGTGAGAAGGCGAAAAACATGGGAAAAACTATGGGAAATCAACGACTTTACCCTCTTTGTGCTCGCTCGGGACGGCTCTCGCAGCTCTCTTGGGCTGTTCTTGGAGCCTCGTCGGGGTCTTCTTGGGGCCTCTCAGGGATCGGTCGGGGGTGTGTTTGGGGCCTCTGGGTGGTCCCGAAGGCCTCTCGGAGGTCTCTGGAAGCCTCCTGCTCCCGCTCTTGGGCCAATCTCGGGCCTGTTCTGGGGTGGTATGGGGCTGTCCTGGCCCGTCTTGGGGCCGTCCTGAGGGTCTCTTGGGTGGTCTTGGGGCGGTCTTGGGAGCCTCTTCGGCGCTCTTGGACCGTTGGAAGCTCGAAAAAATGCGAGAAGCCAAAAACATTGACCAAAACATGAACATCGACGATTTTGGCCTCTTCGGGCCGTCCCGGGACGCCTCTCAGACGCAGACACATACATATAACATAATGTGATGTAATATAACAAAATGCACTGAATACATATGTACAGAAACATACGAACATACATCTTTATGTATGTACATATATATATATGTATATGTATACACATGTAAACATATATATATATGTATATATATATATATATATATATATATATATATCTGTATATATGTATATATATATATATATATATATATATAAAAATATTCTAGTTCGCGCGCGCGGGGCGGCCCCTCGGGGTCCCCAGACGGAAAATACCACGGCCGACTTCTGGCAAGGTCCCGGCAAAGTCCGCTCCACGATGCCGGAACTCCTGGGGGCGGTTTTCGGGGCCCTCCAGATCGCCCCAGGAGCGGCCCAAGGAACCTGAAGGCAACTCCAAAAGGGCCCCCGAATCGGAATCACGGCGCAAGAGTGCATACGCCCAAGATGGCCCCAAGACGGCCCGAGAAGCCCCCAAAGAAGCCCCAAGAGCGCCCGAATCGGAATCACGGCGCAAGAGTGCATACGCCCAAGATGGCCCCAAGACGGCCCGAGAAGCCCCCAAAGAAGCCCCAAGAGCGTTCCACGAGGACCGCAAAGAGGGCCAAAAGAAGCAACAATCATATACTTTCCATGTGTTCTTCTATGTTTTTCGCGTTCTCTCGTTTTGGGCTTCCGATGTTCCAAGATGACCCCAAAGGCCCCCAAGACCGCCCCAAGACGGCCCGATAGGCCCCCCAAATGGCCCCAAGACGGTCTGATAGGGCCACAAAACGGCCTCAGAGACGCCCAAGATTGCCCAAGAGGGCGGCCTCAAGAGGGGTCCAAGAGGGGGAACGCGAGCCACCAATTCGATCCTTCCGCCCCAAGAGGCCCCCAGGATGCACAAAGAAGGCCCCAAGAGAGTCCAGGCGGCCCCAAGGAGGCCCCACGAGGCCCCCAAGAGGCCCAAAAAGAGACCCCAAGAGGCCCTCAACGGCCCCCAAACGGCCCCCAAGAGGCCATGAACGTGCAGGCAACCGCCTGCGATGGCACAGTACGGGTCCGCGGAATGATCGAAGCGATTAAAGAAAACAGTACCATAAATACATGCGGATGAAGGCAAGAGGTAGCGAACTGCCTCAGGAATGCGACGGTGTCATAGCCATGGGAGTTGTAGCTGGGTCTGCGTGCTCGCACATGAAAGAGACAGGAAGCCTGTGTGCAGACACGTCTACACACATATATATATATATATATATGTTTAGATATTTGCACATGCAAGTAAATGCGTGCATGCATGCATGCATGAACATATGTATGTACGTATCTGTATGTATGAACATACATGTACGTATGCATGCATGCCTGTATGCATGCATGCATGTATGTGTGAATGCATGTATGTGTATATGTACGTACGTATGCATGCATGCACACATAAATATACTCATGCACGGGTATATCATAGGTGCGCCCTCTGCATACATGCTGTCGCTTTACACTGGCGATTATCATCGTTCGCCTGATATCAACACGTTGGCATGGATCACTGATGTTAGCAACTATTCCTCGCAATTGGCCACCTTGATGTGAACTCTGGCATGCTCCGAGAACAACAGAAGGGCCATGAACATAAATACAAGCGGGAACAGGACTGGGGGCAAGAGTGCGGCCAGACATTCACCGGCTGCCTAACACCCTGGCGCCTCAGTCGTCGGAGGCACTGACAGAAGCTATGAGAAAATCGGTCCCTCTAGGGGGCTTGCAAGAAGAGGCCTTCCCCCCTCACGCGGCCGCTGCCTCCGCCAGGGGTCCAGATGGAGGCACGGCCTCGCCCAACGGTAGCGGCGGGCAGAGGTGTGCGGCGTCTGGAGACCCGCTGAGCGATGCGAACAGTGTGCTCCAGTCGGAGCCCACGGCGGGTTCGGCTGCGATGCCCGGCATCGTTGCGCAGGCCCCCATCGGTGGCATCGCCCCCCACGCATCCATGGGCCACTGCGGCATCTTAAACGGCGCGCTGAAGTCGTGCAGCCCCATCACCTGTAGGAAAGAGTAGGGTATCATTGACTTGGGCGCGAATCTGGCAGAATCTGTAATATGAATGAAACTGCGTACACATTGGAAGTTGGAGGCCTCCAGGGGGCTTGAACTGGTTGGGACCCAAGAAATTCGGTCAGGAGGGGGGATGAGGCCAAATCCGCTCAAAATCGGTCCCTCGATCCCTCTTGGAATTCGGTTGGTGCAATTTTTTACCCCGGATCCGTTTCTGACGGTCCCCAGGCCCGAAAATGGCTCCCGCGGGCCCCCAAAAGGCCGAACACCTGCTCGGACCCAGAATCTCGAACCTGATCCGCCCTTCCTGCTCGCCCGGGGCCAGCGCTTGGGCCACCTCAGACCCCCAGCCGACTCCAAGCTCGGAGCTTCTGACAAACCCAAGCTGGGCTGAATACCATGGAGTCCCGCCTGCCCCTCGGGGGTTGCCGCTGGACAGATGTCTTGAGCTCTTTGTGTTGCCTGCTGTGTCTTGTCTCTTTTTTCGCCTGTCCTGCCCCCAAGAGCTCCCAAGCGGCCTCCGAGATGGCCCCCTGGCGGCCCAGGAGGTCCCCGAGACGGCCCCTGGACGCCCAAGATGGCCTCCGAGGCGGCCCTGAAGCGCCCCAAGAGGGCCCAGAGGGGACCCCAAGACGGCTTCGAAATGGCGTCAGACGGGCCAGGAACGCCCTCTTTTCTCTCCAGCCATGTCGTGCCGACTTCGGCGTTGGTTTCTGACACCGCGGGGATGGTTCAACCTTGAACGATCGGCCGCTTCCGAAACGTCAGACCGTTCAACATCGACCGATTCTGGGTCGCCGGCGGCGCTCAGTGCTGAACGCTGGCAGCGGGGCCGCCGCCGGTCGACACGACACGAACCTGGCGTACTGTGTGGGCTTTTCCCTTTTCTCTACTCTCGCCTGTCCCCATTTGAGACGCTGGTCGGAAGAGGCAGGTGAAATCATGAAAGCAAGAAAGGCGGGTCAAAGCAGATCGGGTCCAGGCCCTCCCGGGGAGCAGCAGAACACGGCAAACGCCTCGGTTTTCTTGAAGCAGGACGGCGCTCGACATAGGAGTGGGATCAGGGCACCCAGAAACACCTACTCTCGACGACCAGCGCGTGTTGCGTTTCGTCTCTCTTTGCCCTCCGGTCCTGTCCCCTCGGTGCGGCCCGCCCGCCCGCCCCAGACGGAGATCGGCGGCGAGCGCGGGGGGGCGAAGTGAGAAGGGGCGGGCCTTCTAAGAAGGCTCGGAAGCCCCCCGGCCTTCTGAGAAGTTTTCTGCGCCTTCCCCGAAGGTGCAGACAGCTCCGCAGAGGGCGCGATGGGCTTCTGAGGAGACCCGCCGCCTTCTGAGAAAGCCTTCTCCTTCTCACTTCCCCCCCCTCTGAAGGGGCCCTGGGACATACAAATAAATGCACACAATCAAGAGGGTTTCCCATGTTTTCCCATATTTTCTGGGTTTTTGTCTCCCCCCACCCCACTTGCCATCTTTTCCCATACTTTCTGGGGAATCGACGATCCATTGTGTTTGTATGTTTTTTTCCCTCCTGACCTTCGCTCGCCGCCGAACAAACTCCCGGGTGGGGGGGCGCTCGTCAGAGGCCTGGCCGCCCCCGAGGCTGCCGCAGGACTCCCAGCCCGGGCGCCCCCGCACGGCCAGGACGGCCCTGGGAGGCCTCGAAGGCGGCCCCCGGGAGGCCTCGAAGAGGACCCCGAGAGGCCTGGAAGACGGCGCCGAGAGGCTTCGACGACGGCCCCAGGAAGCCTTGAGGGCGGCCCCAGGAGGGCCCAGGAGGCCTCGAGGACGGCTACGAGAGCCCAAGACTGCCAAACATGGCCCCAAGGTGCCCTCCAGATGGTTCAGGAGGGCCTCAGACGTCCCCGAGAGGGTACAAGGCATGGAACAAACACAGCATGTTCACGTTCTATTGCCTGTCTCATGTCTTGATGTCCGAATGTCGCTTCGAAACGATCCCCGGAGCCTCCGATATTGCTCACGAGGGCTGAGGTGCCCCCAATAGGCCCCTCATTTGCCGCCCACATTGCCCATGATGGCCCAATGAAGTATCAAGAAGGCCCCAAGATGCTCCCAAAATCGGCCCTTCAGGCCTCAAGATAGCTCCGATATCGACCCAACGGGCCCCGAATACCTCCGAGAGACCACGCAATGGCCCCCGAACTGTTCCAGCATCGCCGCAGTGTGAGGCCCCGCCTGCTGGCCCCCCGGCGGGGGGCGCAGCGCTTCAGATTCACGTCCGGACTGCGGAGCACGTGAGAAAGACGGGCGTGCTGGCAAAGCTGCGCGTGCAAATTACACTTCGGCATCCCAGCGCCGGCTGTCGTCGTTGTTTGAGCGCGGTCCTCCCTCTTCCCCCCCGCGCTCTGTCCCTTTAGCTTTCGTGCCTCAATTCGCTTCCGGCCTAGCCCACCGCTTGCCGACTGGCGTGCTTCAAAAATGCTGGCGAAAATATCCCCGCTTTCTAAATCAGCGGCGCAGGGGTCCTCAAGCGTGATCAGCAGATGGAGGTGCTGATTGCGATCGAGCATTTCCGAAGGCACAGTGTAGACACAGTGCAAGTGCAACACCGCTGGTGTGCAAGAGGGACTGTACCCCAAACGTAAACATATAGCGGCCAAAAACCTGAGGAGGATACTCAACTCAAGTGAACTGAAGTGCAAGCAAACTGGTGCTAATTGGTGGCCGCTGGATCACCGACGCGACGGTCTTAGGCAGTGGAGCGCAAAAGGAACTGTAACTGATGCCATCCCAGCATATTGGTGGGGTAAAGCGCCAAGCCCAGCGAAGTTATGCGAACCATAGTGGTACGGTGGTAACCTACGGACCAACCGCGCAATAAACGGCACAACCCCCGAATACCAAAAAACAACATCGATTGCAACAGGCGTGGAGCCTTGTGCATGCGGAACCGACACCAAACAAATGGAGCCATGCCGTCAAATCCTTAGGGGGTTACCCGCGCCACCAAGGGAGGCCAGCGCCATGGACGCATCCGGGCTGGCCGAAAATAAGGCTGCAATAGCGCCAACCGAATTGATTGGTAAGGTACCGACGCAAAATTAGCCTGAGCGCCGACCGCAAATCGAGCAGCACAGGTCATATCGCGAGGTGCGCTGTTCGGGCCGACGTCGAGGTCGCCACCCAAGCGACCAAAGACGCCCCGCAGAGGAGACAGGTGAATAGAGAGTCGCACCGCGGCGGCCGCGACGGCCAGGCGTGCACGACGAGGAGGCTCACCCCCCCGAGGTCGGGACGACCCGGAAGGAGGGGGAGAGGGGGGAGAGGGCAAGCAGGGGCGGGGGCAGGAGGGTGGCCAGAGAGACGACGGCGGGGGCTCCGCGACGCGGCCCGAACCCGCGACGACCAAGTGAGCCCCGCGACCCACGAATATGAGGAGGAGGGGACCGACGACTCACCGCGGAGGGGGGCGCCGCCGGGGGTGGCGGGAACGTCGCGCCACCTCCGACAGAAAACGAAACGCCACAGGACCTGAAGCCTTGGAGTGGCGGAAACAAGGGTGAGTGAAACACCGCCGGGGGAGAGCGGAGAGGGACGGTGCCCCTGAGGCGACATCGGCATGCGAGCAGTGCGACTGCGGTGTGTGTGTGTGTGTGTGTGTGTGTGTTTGCGACAAGGCTAAAACGGCCTCAGATCGATGGGTGTCCGGTGCATGACCGGCCGAAGCAGGTGACTGCATCGCAATGCCGTGCTCGCGCTCGCCGAAGAACTCGCTCATGGAGCTCGCGCCATCCCGCCGCAGCTCTCCAAACCTTCTTGCTCGGGCCACCCAACCGTTTGATAGGGGCCACTAGCTGCTTCTCAGAGGCACCCTCTAGGCTGGCCGGGTGTCTGGCCGAGTCGGAGTCGTTGACTGATTTGCGCTGGCCAATTGGGCTAGCCGAGACTGGCGGGGCGGGCGTGCCAGCCGGTTGCCGCTTGTGTGCTGGTGGGGAGCGCAGGAAGTCAATCGCGACCTGTCCAGGGGCCATTTCTGGGCGACCTCGCAGCTTCCCTTGGGTTGTAGGCTCCCAAGTAAAGTGATCCCAGTGTTCACGAGTCCACAGGTAGTCAGCCCACGCCTCTTTGACCATCCGCCAAAGGTCACCTTGCCTTAGCCTGGCGATGCAAGGTCTCCCTCAGACGGTGCCTCCGCGGCGGGCGCGTGGGTCATGATTGGTGGGTGTCCGGCCGAGTCAGAATCTTCGACTGCTTTGTGCTGGACAGTCGGGCCAGCCGAGACTGGCATGACGCGCGTGCCAGCCGGTTGCCGCCCGTGCGCTGGTAGGGGGCGCACGAAGTCGATAACCTGTCTAGCGACCATGCGCGCGAGGTTGCGTTAGGCGCTCAGGCGAGAGCTGTCGCTTCAACGCTGCCGGCGTCTTCGCAGCGTTTTCGGCATCAGTCCAAAGCAATCCTCGCGGTCTTCCCCCACCTCAGTCGTTTCTCGGTTTTCTGTCTGCGCCGCCGGCTGCCGCCGTGGCCGCGGCGAAGGCGTTCGAACGAGGCCAGCGGGGCGAGTGGGCCATCGCCGCCAGTGCTGCCGCGGCCGCCAACGCGCGCACCTGCGCCTGCGTGGCCGCTGCTCTGAAGGACAAGGACTCCGAGATTTACCAGCTGATCCAGTCCGAATAATTCGACCGGCGCGCCGACGTGAGCTTCCGTACAAGGCCAAGCTGCGCCAGCTTACAGTCGCAGAGTGGGCAGCCGCCTGGCGCGATCTTGTTGTCGACTCGGACCAGGTCTCTTGGACCGTGCAGGCGGTGAAACACAAACCGGCCCCTGCCAACGTCGTGGTCCTCTCGGCGAGCAGTCCTACGAACCTGGAGCTCCAGGATTTGAAGCGGGCGACGACGGCGCGTTGCGCGGCCAAGGTCTCCTTGAAGAAGCTGTGCTCGAGCTTCCACGGCGGCTGCTTGGACAGGCTCGAGAATTTCTTGTTGGGGAAGTCCGATTCGCCTCTCGAGAACGTGAGGGCGCTCGCCCGGTCG